ATGGGAGAGTAAGACCATCATTATTTGGATTCAGAATCAATGGCAAAGCTACACACATCAGACTTTCAATGATATGAGTGGCTTTTGTATTGTAAATCTGTTTCATAAGTGTGTGTTTCATTTTATAGAGAAAATTGGCTGTATCTAAATTCTGAAGCAGTTAAAAATGAGAATTCTGTGGATATATATGATATTCAGCCCCTTTTTGTCTTTTATGGGGAACTTTTTATTTAAATTAGAAACAAGCTTCTTTTACATGTCAATCTCAATTCCCTCTCCCTCCCTTCCTCCCCTGCCACCCACCGACCCCCCTATCCCAATCCCTTTCTGCTCCCCAGGGAAGGTGAGGCCTTCTATGGGGGATTTATTTCAAAGTCTGTCATATCATTTGGAGTGGGGCCTTCTCACTGTGTCTAGTCTGAGAGAGTATCCCTCTATGTGGAGAGGGCTCCCAAAGTTCATTCCTGTACTAGGGGTAAATACTGTTCCACTACCAGTAGCCTCATAGATGTCCAGACATCCAAACTGACTTTGTCCTTCAGGGCATCTGGGTCTGTCCTATGCTGGTTTCCCAGCTATCAGTCTGGGGTCCATGAGCTCGCCCTTGTCCAGGTCAGTTGCTTCTGTGGGTTTTTCTCCAGCCTGGTCTTGACACCTTTGCTCATCACTCCTTCCTCTCTACAACTGGATTCCAGAGTTCAGCTCAGTGTTTAGCTGTGGGTCTCTGCTTCTGCTTCCATCAGCTACTGGATGAAGGCTCTAGGATGGCATATAAGGTAGTCATCAATCTCATTATCGGAGAAGGGCTTTTAAGATAGCCTCTCGACTATTGCTTAGATTGTTAGTTGGGGTCAACCTTGGAGATCTCTGGACATTTCCCTAGTGCCAGAATTCTCTTTAAACCTATAATGGCTCCTTCTATGACGGTATCTCTTTTCTTGTTCTCTTCTATTCTTCCCCTGACTAGATCTTCCTGTTTCCTCATATCCTCCTCTCCCTTCCTCTTCTCCCTTTCTCTTTCTTCTAACTCCCTCTACACAAGTATCATTTTAATAATAGAAATTAAATTAACAATGTTTTAAAATCTCTACATGTGTCTAGCTTTTTGTTTGAATGTGATGTTCCCATTTTGTCATTCTATTAATGACTTTTTGAGGAAGTAGGTTTTAGCATAAATTTCCGAGGACCAATTTCCTTGTAAGCCAGTTTGAGATCTTCTTCTCAAGCACAAGTCTGAAAGAATGATAATCAACTTAATAATAGCATAAACTGCTGGACAAATTCAGATATTCAGGCTCCTTACTGGAGCCTTCTTTTCATGTTTAAAAGTTTTAAAAAGCTTAGAATAGAGCTATCTAAAGTTATAAAAACCAGTGTTATGTTTCAATTGCCATTTATTAATAATTCACTTATTCTGTTTCATATACACACAGTAGGCAAAACCAGTAGCACCGATCATCAATGGTCTTACCATTCTGGGCTGTGATGTCAACAAAGTTGTCTGTCTAGCAGGTGTTCCTGCCAATTCTGTCTTGCTTCTTGTCTTACTTTTCTCTTGCTGTGACAAAACACCATGACCAAGGCAACTTATAGAAGAAAGGGTTTAATGGAGCTTACAGTTTCAGAGGGTTAGTCCTTGACTATCATGGTGGGGAATATGGCAGCAGGCAGGTGGGCATGGTCCT